ACACAAAGTGCTTTACAGTTTGGCTAAAAAACAATCCTGCCCATGCCCTCCCCCCGACCGCCCAACAGACCCTCCCCCCCCCACCCCTCCCCCCCCCACACACACACACACGCACCGATAAAACAATAAAACGATGATAAGAGACTTGGCAGGGTTCAGATGCAACCGGCTGAAGAAACGCCATCCAAGGAGCCGTCAGCGCCAGGAGCAGAGAGCCGCCCATAGCCAAAGGGGACGACACAGGACCCAGAGGAGACCCAAAACCGAGGCCCCGGGCCCCCACCAGGTCCAAGAGTCCGACCCCCACAGCCACAGCCAACCACCGCTCCCAGCGCAGAGGGCTCCTCCAGAGGAAACACTGGGGATACTAAAAACAATACAATAAGTAAAACACTAAAATGTGAGCCTGAAAGGAACTATCACACAAAACATGAATAAAAGCAATAGCAATATAATAAATAATAAAAGATAAATAGAATATATAAAAATTGACTAATAAATACTAATCAAAAGCTAATCTAAAAAGGTGTGTCTTGAGCCTGGCTTTAAAAATATGAATGTTCTCTGCAATGTCTCATGTGGACTCACCACCTGCAGGAGGATCAGTGAGGGGCTGGTGCTAAGTGTACTGGGTGCAGCTCTGACTGCCACCCCCCCGACCCAGAAATGCATTAAGGGGAAGAAAATGGATGAATGGATGGAGTTATAGCATGAGGACCACGCACACACACCATAGCGGTACCAACCACTCGTCTCCATGGAGATAGATAGACTCAATTGTTAAAGGAGCTATACCCATTTCTACAAGGTTTGAATGTTTAGCACCGCCCCTCACCTCGCTCACAGGGTTCTCATTTCCCCAACGCGATCTATTTTTGCGATCTATATTAGCATGAGCGCAACTTCTTGTAAGCTGTACAAAAATCACTGATGAAATGGTACAAAAGCAACGCACTGCTAACAAAATATATAACTGAAATGTAATGTAATGTCCGAATGTAATCCGAGCATAGATAGTCCGAGAAGGTCCGCACCCGCAGGTCTCTCCTATAGGCTGTAAGTCTCTCCAGAGGATACGATGTAAACTAGCTATGTTCATCCTGGCTTGATTTCTTCTTAGTTCCCTCTTATCTTCCTCACTGTTGTGTCGTTTGGGCTGTTTTGCTGTGTCTACAGTTACAGCCAGAGGAGTTATAGCCAATTCTGCTAACATGCTACTGTGTTTAGCAGCGCTGTAGAGGCTAGAGAACGCAGCCTCGTTCTGTGAGTGGAGGAGAACGGGCGTCACGCTAAGTCTCTACTCAGAACTTTTTACGGCCTGAATTCATATACAAGCTGAATCAATGAGCTCAAGTTTTCAATTAAATTACTTATTATAATACAACTTTTATGTAGTAATAAGCATTTTAGTGAACTCCTTGAAAAAAAAATCGGGTATAGCTTCTTTAATAAGGTGCTGGACTCAATACAAAAGTTACTTCACACATATATCTTTAACAAACCAGTTTCCTTCTCATCCTCGTGTCAAGCCTCTTATTCAAACTAATTGTGATCTTTTCTTAAACCTCCTCAGGCGATGCAGTACGTGTGCATGTTAATGAGCTAGAACTTACTTTATTTAAACTGCTCTACAATTCTAATCATGACCATATACAATTGCAATTAACATAGTGCTTACACCAGTCGGAACACTCCCAGATCCCCTGTTATTCTGACAATAATCTTCAGTCTTAGCTCTTTACCTTGAAAACATGCTACATTTTATCCACGTTTGCGTTCAATGCTTTTCGAGTGTATTCAGAGTAATTGCCGTGATTAAACAGCGCTCTATCTCCATGTAAACCGTAATTGTGTAAAACCAGCTACAGCGCGTTTTGACATTACCGCTAACCAACCGTGAAGATGGCGGCGCCTGTAATTTCAGTGTCTCCGAAGGGACGGCCGGCAGCTGTGGCGGTGATCTGGATTCGGGAACGACATTAGCGTTCGCCGACCCAAAGCTCGGTGCAGTAATTAGCACCTGCAGCTACGCACCGTACGCCACATTTTAATAACTTTGCAATTAAAGGTAGAGAGAAGGCAGGCCTCGTCACCGGGCCGTGGGCGAAGTGTTTTTCATGAAGCAGTGTTGCGTTCCCCCCTGGGACATTTCAGTGTAAAGAACGTACGGCGAGAGGCAGTAGAGGTGACTGGCTGCTGTGATATCAGGGCTGGTTGTTTCACATAAACCAGTGTTCTCCAATCTTTTTGAGCCTTAGCGCACCTTTTTCACACGGCACACCACCAACTGAATTTGATACAACGTTGAAACTCTCAATAGCCTTCGTTAAGGAGGAAAGTCATTCTCATCAATGTGTATTATGTAAATATAACTCAAAGAAGCACAACTTAATCTTTCTAATTGGTTTAGTTTATTTATTTAAGATGGCAGGGACGGTGTACAATAAGCATTAACATCAAAGGGAAAAAGGCATTGTACCAGGTTATACTGGTCAAACACACATACACACAACTCACACAGCTCTCGCCCTCTCTCTGACATCTTCAGGCACACTCATAGACATCTTTATGACATCTTTTTAATCTTTACTTTTTTTGCTTGAACAATAGGTAAATCCTCCAGTTCTGGTAGTCAACATCTGGAGATGGGTGACTGGGCGCTGTACTACTGCGACCACTGCTCCTGACATATGTCTTAGCGGCATCAGGATTGGGTCAAATGCAGAGGATGAATTGTCCCTACGGGGATTGATAAAGTACATCTTTACATTTCCCGATGGACTTTATCAACATTTATGGACATTGGTCATCTGCCCCTTATGGACCAATTTAGCGCTATACAAGAATGAGTTGAATTGAATTGAATGGACTGTTTTTATTCAGTTATCTACAATCCTATCCCCTTACAATTAAATGCCACAGTTCCATCTGCGTCTGTCCATTACAATGAAACCTCATCTGTTGACTGAGACCTGTCATGTCACTGCTCTCTCCTCCGACCTCGAGCCGCGAACGCTGTTTATTTCCCCCGGCGGCTAATAAATCAGCCAGGAAACGGCCATAAAACGGACACTTTGTTGTTATATGAGGCTTGGAGGTGGCGCTCTGTCATGGCCTCCCAGGGGGGCGCTTGCAGAAACGTCGCCACGGTGATTCTTACTCACAAATCCACAGGCTAACGGTTTTGGGGATATACCTCAGTTTCCCCAGATTTATTTGTTAAAGCGGGCAGCGATGGCCGGGCGCGGTGTTTACAGCAGCAGCATTATGCACTATCGCTCACTCCCGCCTGCAGATGTTGTTGTGAGCTGCCAAAAGCATCACCGCAGGAGCCAAACAAGAGCAGAGGTGCTGCGGCAAGATTCACAAATGAACAGAGGGAAAATATAGCAAGTACAGACGGAAAAAAATGTCTAGAACAGCATTTGTTTGTGCAGGTACATGGGCGCTTTTGTTACGTTTACATGTATGTTTTGTTGTCGCTAAGTCTATTGAATCCACTCACTCACACACACATTAATTTAGTATGTGATGGGTTTGGTGTCTTCATGAGTCTTTCTTCTTCGTTATGCTAAAGCGGGAGATTTTATACGTCTTTCCTTATTATGCTAAAGGTGGTAAGTAATAGTTAAGTTTGTTTAAATCTATTAAGGACAATGTGCGTTTGCATCATAAAGATATCTAGCACTAGAAAGATATTAGCACCGAGCTACTTTCCATCTGTAGTCCTTGAAAATACAGTCATATAACTTGGATATTAAAATACAGTTCAAATAAAAAGTGCACGTTATTGAAATATATATTAAAATACAGTTCAATAATAGAGATTTTATACTGCTTCTTTTTATGCTAGAAATAGATTTTTTATGTTAGTATAGAGGTCATAATTCAAAGTTTCCTTGTCCTAAATACATGTTTGCATCTATTGTTTCCAGGGTTTTGTAAATGAAAAAAGTGTGGTAAGGATTTTGCATTGTGTATGTAATTTATTTTTCATATTTCTTTGGATCAGAATCAGAATCATATTTATTGCCATGTAAGTAACAGGAAGTCACAGACAGTATTCAACTGTTTATAGGATTTCAATAATAAAATACTCAGCTCATGAGTTTGTACTAATAAAGCTATGAGAAAAATAAAGCACAACATAGATATTCCAAAATGGCATCTTTTTATCTCATTTTCTCTTGTATACCTGTCAGAAAGAGCCCTGTGAGTCACTATTTGATGCTTTGGGCAGTGAGCTGATTGAAATGAGGGTGTTCCACTAGTTTTTCCCTTTTTCAGAATAAGCTTATCTTTTTGAGCCATATTGAACTTTCCAATTGCAGGCATTTGTCTCTCACTCCACACAGATATGGGAGCGCCATACATGACCTATTGTACTTGTTTTTAGTGGTAGGTAAAACCGGAGCACCCGGAGGAAACCTACACAGACACGGGGAGAACACACAAACTACACTCAGAGAGACCAAAAATACATGCAGGTGAAAACTAAAGCGATAGAACCAAACTTATATAAGGAACTATTGATTGATTGTTTAGAGGCATGTTTCGTTGTTTGAAAAATAGGTTCCCCAGCTTTAACTATAGTTTCCATTCATGGTTAAGTGTCGTTATAGTTTCTGGTTTGGCTCTAAGTGAACCGCCTCCACTGCCTGTGTCCAATTCTCAGACAACCCTCTTCTCGCCCCAAGTCCTGTATAAAAACGGCAATAAAACAAAAGCCGGGAGTCAAATTTAATGAGCGTCCAGTCGCGAGTGGCTCCAGATCTCATAACACGTCCCCACGGCGAGTAAATAACGGACGGCTGTAGCTCGGTAACGGGCCCCGAAGTGGCCCCTGGATGTGGCCTATATCACTGCTGAATAATGATGATGTGTTTAAACGCGGTAGGAAATCCAGACAGGGTTCAATGAGGCGTGCAGAGCTGTTTCGGGCATACACAAAAGGACCGCGTTTCCCAGCATGCTTAGCGCTTCGGAGAAGAGAGGAGTTGATGGAAGGTGTTAGCCATCGCCCGGGGCACGAGCGCAACATCGATCCAAGTCCGGGTTTGGTCCGGCAGCTCTGTCTGACCTTGGACATGAGATTAAACCCGAAGAGGCGTCAATGAAGACCGCTTCATGTTTACAGTCGGAGCAGATGACAAAGAAATGGTGCAAGATGTTACAGCAAAGTGATGGATTGGTATGCTAATTTGGCCTTTTCCGTATGAGCAGCTAATGACTCACTGTTTCTCAACCGCTGCAATGTAACCTTCTGCTTGCACTGCAAAAAATTATGAAAAATTATAATTTGCTTGAATTTTCTTAAATGTATATTAACTCGAGCACATTTTGACTGCCTTAAAACAAGATTTTCCAGTGGGACAAAGCAAAATGATCTTGTTTTAAAAAGCATTATCTCCCTTGGAATGAGAAAATGAAGCAACAGTTCTTGAAATAAGACTCGATTGGGTTTGTCCCATTGGAAGACCTTGTTTTAACGCGGTCAAAATGTTCTCAAATTAAGATTAAAAAACACTTGATTCAAGCAACTATTACTTCATATTCTAAGGCTTTTTGCGTTATGATATCTTTTCTCACTGATTACCGAGACCTTTCCAGTATGTCTGAAAAACGTCGACCATGCATCTTCCGGCTATTTTAGTTACACACTAAAAGCAAAGAAATCAGGAGAGCCAATGTTACTGAAAAATGCTAAATGTTTTCACCTGTGCAAAGGCAACAGCCACAACAATTTGACAAGAAAGGGTAAAAAACTGAAACATTTATTTTTGTATAGCCCTAAATCCGTCGTCTCGAAGAACTTTACAAAATTGTCGATTCCTCAATAACAGACCAGAGAAAACTGGAGATACGTTTTCAATTAGGAAGACTGGAATCTATAAATTTGTGGAAATCCCAATTTATATTTAGTCTAACCTGTGTGTTTTACTACAAATTCACGGACAGCAAAGGACCTTAAAATGAACCAAATGAATTGATATGAATACTGGGTGCACAGGACATATTCCTCTGTCCTTGAGATAACTACGGTTTGCTCAAGATGTTCATTTACGAAGTCTCTGGCCTATTTATTGATTATGGTAACGGCTTCTTACCATTTTCCTCAATTAAAACCCCAATATAATGAAGCTGTTCCACTGTGAGCCACAACAAAGACGGCACATTCCTTGAAGGCGTGTTTCCGCTCAATGACATTAAAGGCACGATTCTGGCGCGTTCAAACAAAAGAGGATGTGAGGCTCGGACACAAATCCAGCCAGGAAGAGGCAAGAGGTGGATTTATGAGGGGCACCGGGCCAAGGTCAATGTGAACTCCTCCCCAGAGACCACTGCTGCTGCTGCTGCTGCTGCTGCTGCTGCTGCTGCTGGTTAGAGGGCTGTGCTGAGCTACGACTCCCACAAGGCCGGAGTGCACAGGCTGACACAGCCCGGACGAGCACGCGCACTGAATAACAGGAGGAGGGAGAGGGCAGCGCATTGTCAGCTCAAACACAACCGGGAGCGTAGAGGCCTGTTAACCCTTTCCAATCTGTTTTATGGAGATGGTGTGGAATTAAATGTTGTTTAAAATCTGGGGTTCTGCACTTTTTTACTCCATAAATGATCATGGTTTAGGTGTATTTCCTGCTTTGTTTTGTAATTTGTTTATCCCTGTGACTTCTTTTTTCCTGTTCTGGTGTGTCCCAGACCCTTCACCAGGTCTATTAAAGGAGCCGAACTCTCCCTCCCGTTTTACTCCCAGCTCCGGCTCCCAGCTCCGGCTCCCAGCTCCGGCTCCCAGCTCCGGCTCCCAGCTCCGGCTCCCAGCTCCGGCTCCCAGCTCCGGCTCCCAGCTCCGGCTCCCAGCTCCGGCTCCCAGCTCCGGCTCCCAGCTCCGGCTCCCAGCTCCGGCTCCCAGCTCCGGCTCCCAGCTCCGGCTCCCAGCGTGATTGGCTTATTCCTTTCTTCTTCACTCTTCTGCCTGAAAAAGCTGATCTAAAGATGTGCGAGAGCAATAATATACTCAATGACTTATTGATTCATATTTGACGGAACTGAAGTTTATTAGCGTTAACAATCTCACCACAGCTACATTTGTGCCATATAGGAAATGCATGTTTGTGACACAATCAAAAACAAGATTGCTGGATGACATTAACAAATTATCGTCTCAAAGACAACTTATGTCATCCGGCAGAGGGCCACATACAATGACAAAAAGGGCCGCATTTAGCCCGCGAGCCTTAGTTTGGACACACTGTAAGAAGTGGAAAATATTAAGTAATAAATGCAATAAATGCTTAAATCAAGTGTTTTCATCTTAATTTGTGTACATTTTGATTGTCATGAAACAAGATTTGCCAATGGGACAAAGCCATTTTGTGTTATTTCAAGAACCGTTGCATTTTTCTCATTCCAAGGGAGACATTTCTCGTATCTTTTTTAAAACAAGATAAAGGCAGTCAGATTGAGGTCCAATTTAAGACATTTTGTACTTATTTCCCATAACTTTTTGCAGTGCACGCCTGGTCTTTATGATTTTATGACTGTCTTTACAACCCTTTTTCACTGATTCTCTAGTTAAAATATTAACAATAACAAAACCTTTTTCACTACTTACTCCTTTCCCTCAGCTCCATAATTATTCCCACAAAAGCCATAACATCATCATTAGCAAAGCAATACCCTCCGCTAACAGAGACCTGCATTTTATTTCAAGCCATTTAACCAATAGGAATGCACTTCACTCTGGAGCTGGGAAAATGTCAAAGAACATGAAGAGAGCATCTCCACAGTGGATTACTTGTCATGCTTGAGTCCCTTTGAAAAGCCATTCTTTTATATTCACATGTCAAAGAGCTGTTGAGAATGTAAACGTCCTCCCAGCGGACCAGAAATGACTCACACAAATGAATAAATATTAATGAACTGAATATTATTATACTTGATACAATCCATTGAGGGGGATTTTACCTCATCCTCCTGCATAATTATGTCATGTCCTTCAGCAAGACACTAATATTGTTACAGAAGGAAAGCAGCCATCAAAGCAGACTACGTTTTACATTCAATTTATCTCAATTTACAAAATGCATTATGAATTTATTATTATTATTGTGTAATGTTTTACAGCTTAATGTCTTTGTCAGGAGAAACCGAAATGTGTTATCGTTGGCATCTGAGATTGACCAGATTCAAGTTCGAGTGTTCTGCGAGGGGGGATTGAGGTTCAGAAATAGATGGAGCTCAAAACAAGATATATTTTGACGCGAGAAGAATCAAGAAAACCTCCAAAAAGTCTTCTTGCCAATGAGACATATTATGCTAAATGGGTTTTTTTGAGAGTTGTTTTTACAATGTCCATGCTCCCATCAGGAACTTTTGGCACAAACATGTAACTCTGCCCCTTCTTTCTAAAAGCCCCGGCCTAAATCTATTAATAGTAGTCATTGTACCACTGCAACATCACTCAATGTTCTGCCTTTTTATCTCGCCTAAATTGGTTTTGGAAATTTCTTAGGTGAATTATAATTGGTTTAAAAAAAAAAAAAAAAAAAAAAAAAAAAAAGCAACTTTCTCTGGTTGTAGCATAGAGATTAACAGGCAAATATTTTCCACTTTAGATATTATTTCACGTTTTAAAACATGACATGACCAGGACATGACAAGTGTCTGTATAATTTATCTGTAAAAATCCTTGTCCTTGACAGAAATCACCACTACTCCTAATCAAACCAATGGATTACTGAGAAATTCCCCCAAATCCCAATCTTTTTTTCACCAGATGTTTTAAAAGTAAGTAAAGGTATTTAATCTTCACTCACTTTGCTAAAACCGTTGGCTATATGCTAACTGCTGAGAGTGTGTTGCTATGGTAACTAGTACTGGTTCTTCTATAAGAGTTAATGGTAGAGCTGCTCACATTAAAAAAAATAAAAGATGATTGAATCAAAATAATTACATAGATATAAACTACATATAGATACAGAAAAGTTATGAAGACTGAAAATGTAACTGTGCTGAATTATTACACTTCCCGAACTAAAAGCCGTCAAATTGACTGCTGTGGGAGTTCTCGCGTTAAAGAAAATGTAGACCCAATTTACCTCCCTCCAGATCCCAAAATTGCTCTGTAAACATTGTTCTACTATCAATTCCATTCCACTCTTTCCTTCTTTGTGCCGTATCGAGACGCGGTGCCAAGTGATGACGGATTGACGGTCGGATTTTAATTAGCACGCCAATTAGCTTCCTATTGCACAAGCAGCGTGTGGCTAATCCCAGCGCTTGTAGCCGATCCATATTGTTTTGGTGAGCAGACAGAGGCCCGCTGAGTGCCTCTCTCTGAGCACTTCCGCAGTTAGACCTGTTTTAATAATAGATGGGATTAATGAAGCGTGGGATGGATGGTGAGGAGATCCGTGGCCTCTGTCAGCTGCTGAGGTGTGCGAGCAGGGACAGGTCAGAGGGACAAAACAACATCTCCTACAACAGCTCAATGTAAAGCAATTTATAGCTTTGTCAGGACTAATAGGCTCGGACTCCCAGAAGTCTGAAACTGTACAGGAACCCCAGAGCAGTCTGTTGAAACTCTTGAGACAAATGTTTTTTGTGGTTCTTTTGTAAGACTTTTGTAAGTTTTTATTTCCCTTGTTGCAAATGAGACGTGTTAACATGGTTATACATCAAACTTGTCTTTCAAAAGAATCACAAAAAATGATCAAAAACTGTATCCATTAAAATATGAAGGTAATTTAGGTACATGGGATTTTCTTCTTCCCACACCATTTCAAGCTGATCATTTGTAAATAATGATATAAATATAATTGTAATTGACACATGGAAAGTGTTAAATATTGCTTATGTATGTATATGCGTGTTTATGTATACAGTATATAAACACCGTACCGGGCGGCACGGTGGCTGAGTGGATAGCACTCTCGCCTCTCAGCAAGAAGGTCCCGGGTTCGAATCCCGGCCGGACCAGGGCCTTTCTGAGTGGAGTTTGCATGTTCTCCCCGTGTCTGCGTAGGTTTCCTCCGGGTACTCCGGTTTCCCCTACCACTAAAAATATGTACAATAGGTCTGGCATGCGCCTCCTGTTCGGCGACCCCGCTCTATCTCTGTGTGGAGTGAGAGAACAAGTGCCCATAAAGTCCGCTTTGTGACTCTGGTCTCTGAAAGGCGGTATATAAATAAAGCTTACTTACTTATTTACTTATATATGCAGTATACATATATATATAATATATATATATATATATATATATATATATATATATATTAGTCATTTCAAACATTGCGAGACCTATAGGGGGAGTGGAGCACCAGGAAAGTGTGTCTGTCTGTGTTTTCTTGTTTGTCCATCCCTTTTTGTTTTGCCTTTTTATATATTGATGCCTGTACGTTTTGTGTTGATTGCAGAGGACATTTTTGCTTTGTAGTTGGTGCCTCCTTTTTCTATTAATAAAGAGTATTCATATGGCTTAGGCAAGGTCGGTGAGTCATTTGCATTAACCCAGATTTAGAAAAGAAAATTGCAATTAAAGTAAAAGAAGTGGGAGTGGCTATGTGGCCGTGGTATAAGAGGACCCACGAGAACAAAGCTGACACTGATGCAAGAGAAAATAACACATCAAAAATGACTGAATCGCTCTATAAACAACTTTAAGTGCGATAATTACAAGGAAAAACAACGTTGACATGTCCAGAAGCTCTGAATTACCCTCTTCTATGTGGCTTTTTAAAGGTATTGAGATATCTGCTCCACGTACACACATTGTATACGTAAGCTATTACAGCGAATGGGCTCAATCATTGAGTATAATAGTGAAATATTACATTTAATCTTCCTGCCGTGAATACTCTCTCAGCAGGTCTCCGTGTTGCAGCCCTAAATCTCCATAGAAAGTCAGAGGGGCTCGCAAAGCTGTATTTTTTAGCTTTAATAGAATACAGGCGCGGCTGTAAATCCCCCGACGTGTGGGAGTGCTATTGACAGAGCATTAAGGCGGCATCTCCACAGCGCTAAGTGAAAGTGAATGAGTGTGAGGAGGGGGGAGGAAGGAGGGGAGGAAGGGGGGAGAGATCCAGAGGAGAGCCAAAAGGTAAAGCCACACGCAGCCCTGGAATATGAGCTGGTTTTGGGGATGGGACGCTAAGGTGGATGAGGCTGCCTGGATGAGAGACCGCCACAATTGCTGCCTCAGTCTGATTGGATGAGTGATAGAGAGTAGGCGTGGCCAGAGAGAAGCAGGGGATACATTAAAAGTCACACAAAGCAAGGTCATTTTTAAGACGGTGTGTAATGTCTGGGCTGCAGCAGACGAATGTCCTCTTAAAGGCGCTATACCCGTTTCTACAATGTTTGAATGTTTAGCACCGCCCCCCAACTCGCTCAATGGCTTCTCATTTCCCCTACGCCGCTCTCATAACACAGAGCCACCTAGTTTTATTTGCGATCTGATACATATGCTAACATTAGCATTAGCGTAACCTCTTGTAAGCTGTGCAACAATCACTGATGAAATGGTACTAAAGCAACGCACTGCTAACACAATATATAAGTAAAAGAATACCGCTAGTTTCGCGTCCGAATGTATTAATTTAAAACCTTAGAATATATTCTAATATTTAATTATAATTTGTTATAGAGCTCCTCAAAGCAGCAGCAGCAATTCTTCCGATCATTTTTTCTTGATAACAGAACTCTCAAACCAATAATGACCGAAGCCCCAATGCAACCTCTGTTTGTAATTCAGGTGTGTAAAATACTGCCATTACTCTGCAAGAACAAGCTATCAGCGCCTGTCACTATCACTCGTCTGTGTAGAGAAGCCAACGGAGCTAGCGGAGCTAGCCACGCTCAATAAACAACTACATATCTATCAATCAACACCATTAAACGTCAATCGGACAATACAGTACACATATACATCCTTAACACACA